CACCTCCCCCACCGCCCTCTCCCTCTCCCACTGCAACCTTTGTCTTCTCAGAATTTACTTCCTCTTTTCCATATCTGTATCTAACCTCTATCGAATCCCTCTCTCTCTTTGAGTCCTTTCTGAGGTGTAGTCCCACTGAATTGTCTCCCGTCTCCCCCCCGCCTTTCTCTATTTAACCCCACAAATAACAGGTATGTTCAACTTTTGATTCAAGGACAGGTTTTTATTTTAATCTATTTTTTCTGAGCAAACCAGAATTATGAAAGCTTGCTGCATTTGTCTGTCTGTTGATCAGTTGTCCACAGTCCTGCCCACACTGTTCCCAAACTTTTGGACATGTGAGCTGATTTCATCCAAACTTGTCAGAAAGGTAAAGATATATATATAAAACAAAACAAAACAAAACAAAACAAAACCCTACAAGCTTTGTGAAAATAGTTGGTCAGGTGGAGGAGGCAGAAGATTCATGCCCCATCAGTGGAGAAGCTGATGTGGAATCGTGTTGCTTAGACATCAGAGAGTCCAGAGGAGAGCACAGTCTTGAGATACAGATCTGCAGGAAACCAAGTTTCATCATCTCTGCTGCTCACAGAACGAGAAATTTGATTTCTCTCTCCTGAGAGAAACATTGAACTGTTCTTCTCTACTCCCAGTGTATCATTGTTGTGTTTGAACCTTCTATTTATTTATTTATTTTTGTATTATCTGTCAGTTATGATTAATTTAGGTTTTGTTGATGCTGCATAGAAGACTTCTGACTATGACCTCTACAATATGGCATCTGTCACCTGAGTTTTCTTTGCTGTCTATTTTTATGTCTCTTCGTGTATCAGAGGGGAAATAATGGCTGTGGTCCTAAGTGGGAAAATAACTACTAATGGATTAGGTTTAGGTTGTATCAAATGGATCGTGAGACTGAGATAACCAGACATAACAGGGCTGAGGCTCCCAACTGTAACCACAATAAAGCTTCTGAAATTTATTGGTGGTAGAACTGAAAGTCATAACCCAGAGAGGAAGGTAATGGTTAGACAGACTCAGATTGACTATGGAATAACAGTCCCATTCTTTTTTATTTTTTTCCTCTCTCAGCTGAGAAATAAACCTTTAACATCATATCTTTTTCAAGACATCATTCGAAGATAAAAATAAGTGATTTTGTTGACAAAATTTCCACCAAGAGTTGTATCAAAAGAGATCAAGTAGATATCTTCTTTCTGCAAAACCTAGATTAAAATCTACTGGTTGCTAGTGTCCTTCCAAGTGGCAGAACATGTTAAAAAGTAAGACTTGTTTTATTCCTTTAGAAGTAAGTGAAATACGCTATGAATTTATGTGCTTCCTTTAATAAGGTCCCCAACTTGTGCTTCAGAAAAAGGTGGCAGTAAAGCTGTACTATATCAAAGTTATGAGGACACATAGCTCTGGTTCTTACTGGACAAACTTTCAGCCTGCATGATCTCAGATTTAGTAGAACCAATAACATTTAATATCTACAATTTTCATAAAGTTTTGTGGCTTCAAAATTTTACAGTAATTACTTTCTTCTGTCTCAAGATATTCATGGTAAGTTTGCAATACATTGCCCATGGAAATGATTCAGCAAGAGGAGCATGGTGACCCCTCCTGCACAGCAACTTACTGATGACCTGGGTTTATCTTTTATTCAGATATTTGTCTTTTCTCCTGTAGCATTTTTGTAGCCAAGCTCTTTTAGCAAACCTGAAGAGATCAAGATAGAGATAGGAAGCAAGCAGTATGTTAGTGGAAGGAAAGGTAAATAACATGGTCAAAGCTGATAAGAAAAATTAGATGGAATAGTTTCACTATCTTTTGAAATTTTATATCTTTTGAAATTTTATTTGCCGAAAACTTGTTTTGGAGAAAAAAGATGAGACCATGTCGAAGCATCCCACTGACAGTTGTCTCCACCTGTGACTTCTATGTCCATTGAAACTATTCAAACCTTTCCTAATTCTCAGAGGGAAAAAAAGTAAAAAGGCAAGTGGGAGGATTTCCAAGTTCCAAAATGTTCTTTTTAGTTACAATGCAAAATTAAAATCTCAGAAGTGTTTGTGACTAAAAATCTTTAGAGCACAGAGCTCAGGTGAAAGTATATGGTGGTTTTGCTTAAATTTCAAAACTGAATACTTTGAGAACTGGCTTACAGATAGAGCTCAGAGGGTTGTGGTTAGTGGTGCAGAGTCTAGTTGGAGGTTAGTAACAAGTGGTGTCCCTCAGGGGTCAGTACTGGGCCCAGTCTTGTTCAACATATTCATCAATGATCTGGATGAAGGGATAGAGTGTACCATCAGCAAGTTTGCTGATGACACAAAACTGGGAGGAGTGGCTGACACGCCAGAAGGCTGTGCTGCCTTACAGCGTGACCTCGCCAGGCTGGAGAGTTGGGCAGAAAGAAACCTTATGAAGTTCAACAAGGGTAAGTGTAGGGTACTGCACCTGGGGAGGAATAACCCCATGCACCAGTACAGGTTGGGGGCTGACCTCCTGGAGAGCAGCTCTGTGGAGAGGGACCTGGGAGTCCTGGTGGACAACAGGATGACCATGAGCCAGCAATGTGCCCTGGCGGCCAAGAAGGCGAATGGCATCCTGGGGTGCATCAAGAAGAGTGTGGCCAGCAGGTCGAGGGAGGTCATCCTCCCCCTCTACTCTGCCCTGGTGAGACCGCATCTGGAGTACTGTGTCCAGTTCTGGGCTCCCCAGTTCAAGAAAGACAGGGAACTGCTGGAGAGGGTCCAGCAAAGGGCAACAAAGATGATTAGGGGACTGGAGCACCTTTCTTATGAGGAAAGGCTGAGGGACTTGGGTCTCTTTAGTCTAGAGAAAAGAAGATTGAGGGGGGATCTTATTAATACATACAAATACTTAATGGGAGGATGCCAGGGGGATGGGAGCAGTCTTTTTTCAGTGGCGCCCAGTGATAGGACGAGGGGTAATGGGCATAAACTTGAACATAGGAAGTTCCATCTTAACATGAGAAGGAACTTCTTTACTTTGAGGGTAGTGGAGCACTGGAACAGGCTGCCCAGAGAGGTGGTGGAGTCTCCCACTCTGGAGACATTCAAAACCCGCCTGGACGCTGTCCTGTGCAACCTGCTGTAGGTGACCCTGCTCTGGCAGGGGGGTTGGACTAGATGATCTCCAGAGGTCCCTTCCAACCCTAACCATTCTGTAAATTCTGTGAATTCTGTGAATATGCAAACCGTAACTTTTCTCCTCAAATAAAACCATACAATGTTTTGAAAACTTGCATTTCCTTTTTTTTTTTTTTTTGAATATGAAGAAATCTCTCAGGGCTAAATCTTTTCTACAAAAATTTTTAGCAAGTCAAGATTCGGCACTGGGTAGGTGGGAACGATTAATTGAAAAATTTCTCACCTCCTCTACAAAGAAGTCTTTGATAGCTTTGATTGTGATTAGGAAGAGCATTCTCTGAAATGGGTGAGTTGTGCTCCCTGCTCCTCCTTTCATCTTGATCAGAATGGTTACTGCATGCTCAGAGCTTCAAACAGCCACCGCTCTCAGTTTTAAGAAAATATGACCAAATTAACTGAGTAATTTATCAAGATGTTATAAAAATGTCAATAGTAAATTTTTGAAGAACGCTTTGACATGTGGCCTCCCTATTACAAGCTAAGTTTAATATGTTATTGAATACATGCTGAACTATTTGATGACAAGGTAATCAAAAGTTATGTATTACTCGGGACTCTGCATGGCCAGACAAGTTCCCTCTTAGATAACCCGTGACAGTTTCATTATCAACTGGTAATTGCCAGCTCTGCTGTAATATATCCATCTATTTATCGGTTATTTCACATCATTGTGAGCCAAACCCCCACTGCCCTAGTGCTGCCATAAGGCAGACACACTCTTTTTGTGTCCTGCTTGGAAAAAAACAGAAATTATCTCTAGAAGAAGAGGGACAGGATCAAACAATATTGTAATGGTCCCAGTCAAAATGGAACCACTGAATGTGTCATTTTGTCAGCGTGCACTGTCTGAAATTTGTCTAACTCTGGAGTTAAAATAAATCCACCAGCAAAACACTATTTTTTTACCTTAAAAACTTTTCTGGCCGTTAGCAGCCTGGGAGATAGTTTTTATCTCAATTTTAGCAATTGAATCAAGCTGATATAAGAGTTTACCAACTATTGTGCATGCTTACTATAGCTATTGTTTATTCAGAAGGCTTGCCTCTACTCAATGATTGGGGGAAAAATAGAAATGTATTTAAATCTGTATAACCCCTAAGCTGATATGAATATTAGTTCGTACCACCTATAAATATATTAACACCCTTATCTTGATATAACTGTGTCTGCCTGAGCAGGCTGCAGTAATTTAGTTAAATAAGTTTTGCTATCAAGGCAGCTAAATGAAGGGAGGAAAGTAAATGCTAGATACAGAAGACGGCAGGTAATTTCTCTCACTACTTTGAAAACTGCTGCCTTTTCCAATCAACAGCAGATTTCTGTGAACGGAATAGGTGTTCTTACAAAAACTGCAGTAAATGAGATGTCATTTTTATTGATAATGATGCTATTTGCTCTAGAGAACTGTTTGCTGTTACAAGAGCTGGTTCAGAGCTTACCAATCCTGTCTCTGTCGGCCTTACAGTTTTCTGCAGCAAAGACATTAACTGAGTCCTATAAAATTAATATTTAAGGATCTTGGGGATCATTCCTTCAGAAGTTTGCATAAGCTTTTATCACTACCAGCATTCTTTGTTGAGAGGTACTTGCAGCACAAGACAGGGATGATTTTCCCATTGGAAACAAGGATTCCTTAAATTCTTTTTTATTCCACCCGTGATAAAACACAATATTGCCTAGGCTTTATGTAGGCTACATTTGCACCTCCTGGGAGCTCCTAAACCTGCAAAACAGAAAAAGTATGACACTAATTGAATTTTCTTGTTTCCTTTTAAGTTTCAGCATCGTGACTCTGCTTGAGCATCTGGACATAAGTGTTTGTACTTGCTCCTGCCAGGGGACCGACTCCGGTATGCCATTCCTCCCTTCGCCCCCGCTTGCTTCCTCTCCGTCTCCCTCCCAGAAGTAATTTTTCTTGAGACATGGGAAAGCCATCAGCACGTCCTGCTGCTCTGAGGGCCATTTTCTGGCTGTCTTTGCTCTTGGAGGTGCGTGAAATCTGCCTTCTTTCATGGGCTGGTCAGAAAGCAGCAGGCAGAACTGGCACCTTCCAGCCGAGTCCTTTGCACCACCCAGAAAGACAGGAGGAGGGATGTCCTCATGCTGTGAGGCGCCAGGCCGTGGGGGAGAAAGGACTGGTGGGAAGTGGTGGATGATGGAGCAGCTGGGGCAGAGCCGAGGGCGACCTGCAATCAGCCTGCTCAGCTGAGACGGGGCATTGAAGGGCTGTAAAATCTCACACCATTGGTGAACAGTGGTAGAGGAGGGGAAAGGCATCCAGCTGGCATGGCTGTTCTCTCCCCGGAAGAAAAGACTATAAATTACAGTTATGCTTTGAGAATGAATTATTGTTACCCTGTTTATCTCCCTGTTAGAGGCATTTTGTTTTTCTGCCTTTAATAAAAATATTGCTTGCTAAGCCATTTGTTTTGTATTTGCCAGTGGGGACAGTTTACCCACTGAGTCATTTGCACTGCTCATTGCATCAGGATAATTTTGCCTGTTTTCTGGTTGAGGACTTGAATGGTGCTCTAGCAGTGATTTACCCCTAAATGTGAACCTACCTATTACTGTTTCCACTCAGATCCTGGTAGAAGGATTACAAAATGGCTTGTACCAATGACAGTCTGGCCTGCAGTGTTCAACCATTACCTGTTCAAGAAGCAATGGTTACTATTAACCTCCAACCTCACCCAGATTCAAAGTCACAACTGAAAGGAGAAAGACTCTGAATCCTATTACCAAACTGAGGATGCCAGCCCATGCTGGGGGAGGGTGTTAGGGAGACAACCAGACCCAAAACCTTGGAAGATGAACTTCCTCTTGTGCCTCGTTTGGCTTTACCTGCAGAAAGGCTTTCAGTGAAACAGCTGAGAAGATTACTCTAATGTCCTTGCACAGTATGACAGAGATTTAAATCACAGTTGGTTTTTTTTTTTAATTAAATAAACAAAAGGTTGTTGAAATTTTACCAGAACTCCTAAACCTGCTTAGAATTTCAAAACCAGTTTTACATTGAAGAAAATATATCCAACAATGAAGGAAAATATTCAAATCCTCCCCCACCCCCCCAAATAAAAGCAAAGAAGAAAAAAGCAATATGTCACTTTAATATTAAAGTTAAAAGGCTTTGATGGTGAGGAGAACTTTAAAGAAAAGGAAATGATGGGGGTGACAAATCTTTAAAGAAGGGAAAATGGAGTGCTATTTTTAAAATTCTTTTATTCTTTTCAGATTGTGGTATTTTACAGAGCCTTACAGATGACAAAGCAGCTGCTTCCCCTGTGCTTGACTGAATGCTTTCTCCACACACCACTGGGTTGGGGTTTTTTTCTTTTTGTGTCACATTGATCTCCTCTTGTTGTGCTGCGTCTAACATGCCATTAGGCACCTCGGGCTGCCAATACTGAGGGAGAAGATCAGGTTCTGGTGGTTAAACTGCTATTAGGCTCTTCCTGACATGACTTATAATATTATGGCCTGTGTCTACTCTTTGAAGATATTTTGAGAGTTAGAATCACCTTATTATTATTATTGGTTTTACTACTTGTACTGAAGGAATTTCTAGGGGCCCTTGTCCAGATCTGTTGAACAGGTGTTAAACAAATGGATATTAAAATGTGACAGCTGCCTCTCAGAGCTTTCCTTCGAACACGTGAGACAGAAAAAAGGCAATTATTATCTCCAATTTGCAGCACATACCTAAAGCTCTCCAGTGCTGCACAGAAAAATTTCAGCAAGCTCTGAACAAAAGTAATATAGGCGAAGGAGGGTGATACTACATCTATCCTAAAAAAACCACCTTCTCACAACCTCTAAGGTGAAGTGATGTGTTAAAGCAGTAATACAAGGTACCGACAGTGGCTAACACCTGAAAACAGAGTTAATCAGTCATATTACCACCCTGGCATCTCTCATTCATACCAAAGATGTTGGTCGCTTCCCCCAGTTGCCCCAGAAAGTCAAGATTACCTGCTCACCGGTTTTCAGGGGTACACCAATAAGGCTCATTCTGCACAATGCACTGCAGAGCAACCTCTGTAAACACATGCAAACCAGCTTTACGGTCTCCCCTTGGATCTTCCCTTAAAATAGCTCTCTGTCTGTAATTTCTTCCAGGACATGGTGATGATGTGGCTGCTGGAGTGTGGATGCTGTTGTCTGTCACACCAGTCAGTACCCTTTGATGGATATTTATCTGCCTGCAACAGTCTGTTGTCTCTTCACTAAGGCCATGGGTGGCTAGGGCAGCATTTCCAGTCTGCAGAGCATTTCACACATCAGAAACTTAGTAAATGTTGAGTTTCTAAGTCCTGTGGTAATACATATATTAATAACAAATAATAATAATAAGCAACAAGAAATCTTTCTCCAACAGCATCTCTATGCTTGCATGCTCAAATCCCCTCTCCTTGCCCCGCCAAACACACTCAACACAGCTTGCAATATGTGGGAGCAATTTGCAGCCGTTGATATTAAGGATGCCTGTCTTTAATAATTGAAAAGAATTAGCATAATGCTTGACTCATTGAGTTTCTGTGGGGAAACAGTAACCTCCAGTGGTCATTTAGAGTCCAGTCATGTTCCAACACACTTCATCGAGAGCAGTGTTAGGTCCTTAATTTATACCTGGCTTTAAAATTTTCCTTGAAGCCCTAAATTATACATTCATAACCAATTTCGTATACAACACATAGATGCTAGAACTGCACTCCTTCAAAGGTTTATTTCGCAGTTGTTTACCTTTGCCAAGGGCTTTAAGATCCAGAAATAAAAAGTCCCAGTGAAAATGAAAAGTAATACCAATTTTTAGTGAAAAGCACCAGTCTATAATTTTCTTAAGGAAACAGTGCAATTTGTGTAGTGTCTGAACTTGGCTTAGGAATGTCATCTAAGTGCTAAGTGCATAGATCATTTCTTCTTTTTAAAGTGGGGGACATCCCCCATTTAAAGGAAAGGCTAAGACTATTTTCTTATCTATTTTAAATTGGTTTTTTTTAAGAGGTTAGAGGCTGAAGTTAGACATGCATTTAGGAGTTGCTCTGTTTTGACCAGTCAGCAATCAAAGGAAACAGGGATGGAAGGGAGCCTGAGAGGTCTCCCAGCCTGTCTTCTTCAAGGCCAGGCCTGCTTCAGCCCTCAGCTTCCTTCAGGCCTCAGTACCACAATACAGAGGGACAGGGAAGACGGACAAAGTTTTACGTCTCTTTGTGGTTCTATTTATATTAAAGACCTCGACTGGATTTGGTGTGGTACTGGAGCTGATGTATATTGCTTATAGTGGAAAGATTGCAGAGACCAACATGACTTTTCCCTTTCCTTCAGGGGATTGACAGTTACTGCCTGACAGCTCAGAGGCTAAATCTTCAGAGTGCTGCCTCGGGTTGCAACACATTAATCTGGGCAAGCACACCACAATTAGCCTTCCTGTTGTTGTGTTTGTGAGGGGGTTGAGGGTACACCACTGAATATGACTTGAGGGATCACAAGTCTTCCCCCCAGGTTTTTAATTTTTATTGTCCGCTGGGTGAGGTAAATTATTACCTCCATTTTATTACCAAGTGCTGTGCAAGTGTGTTTGTTTATATTTATGCTCTTGGGTGGTTACTGTCAATGTGACTACTGCAGACTGCTGAGAGCTTTGAGTGGGCTCAATCTGTCAAACTTGGAATCAAATATATTAAGCCCTCCTCCTCCTCCCTGGGTCATTTTTTTGAGAATGTGCCGCTGACAACATTTGGAGATGCGAGAAGTTTATGGCTGGGTGTGGAAGAGTTTGATTTAGAGCTAAAGTGGCTGTGATACATCAAAAAGAGAAGGGGGGGGGGGCAGTCTTGAAGTTCCTCAGGGCCACAATAACATTGGAGGCTGCAGAGGAGCATCCCACCCTCCTGCAAAATGTCCAGCTGAGCTGTCTGCGCTGTCTCCTCAGATGCCTCGTGCCTAGTTAGTCCCAAGGTGGCATGGGGACTGACTATATACCTCCTCTTATACCCTACCTACCCCAGGGTGGGCAGGTTTGGGGGCTAAGGTGGTGCCCTACTCATCTGTAAGTGTGGGAAACAGAGAGCAAAGCTCAGTGTGGCACTGGATGGCTGTGATGAAGGAGTGAGTAATATTCTTGAGGCCCTACTAGAGAGATTCAGCTGGAGGTGCATGCTCTAGGGGCTGGAAAGGCAAAGGGAGAGCAAGCAGAAAGAGAAGATCTTGTCCAATGGTGGGTAGGTAAGGTGCCTACTCTCTTAGCCTATTCCCACCTCCTGCTCTGACAGTCCTCCACTCTTGCTTTTTGGGGAGTGTCAAGCTCTCACCTGAAGCTTGCAGGCTGATCCTCATTGCTGAACTCTCCCTTTCCTCCACCCATGGCGAAACTGCTCTGCCTCTGATGTGAAACCAAATTCTGCCCATACAGGAGGGGCTGCTTGGACTGAAGGCATGTGTAAGAGCTCCCACCTAAATGAGCTGCTGCTTAGCCAAAGGAGGAAAAAGAAAACACTAACATAATGAAATGAAAGAGGAGATAGCACATGAAAGTAAGAAAAACATAGGTGGCAAGCTGTGATTAATATGGGAAAATAGGTAATGAAAAGAGGAAATTTAAAATATGGGTAATTAAAAAAGACCATAGGCAACAATTAGACCATGAAAGATGACCATAGCCAACACAGCCAACATTAGTTATGCTGCAGCTGGCTTGTGCTCAAGGAGAAAGCAGAGATGAAACAGATGACATGCAAGTGCTGGTCTCTGAGTTCTGCTTTCTTTCAATTAGGGATTACTTACTCTCTTTCTTCTAATGAGGACTGCAAAACGCAATTGGGGATTTACCGGTCATTTCCCTTGTTTTTTGTTGTTTCTCTTGTTTCTCTTGTCTTTTTTCCTCTATGGTATTGTGATAGTTATAATGTTTGACTCTCCTCAAATGAGTCATTTGCAGGAAAATTACAATATGTGCCTGTCTGAGGTACCACCTAATTGAACACTCAGAAGACAATCAGTGATGCTCTCCTGGAAGGCAGACTATGCCAAAGAAAGTGAAAGACATACTGGTAAGATTCACCGGGCAGATGAGGACATATTCCAAATTAGAGACTAGTGTGAACAAGAGGTGATGCATGGGACAATGGTATTGTTTTTTTTTTTAAAGTAGACGTGTAGTTCTCATTTGCTCGTAAAGTACAAAAATTCCTATGTCATCCTACAGGAAATTTAGGTTTCAATTCTGCCCATGTAGTGAATCCATGAGCAGATCACTGCACCAGGCAAAATTACATGTGCTTCAGTTGATCTTCACATAGATGACCTATAACTATAATGTCAGGCCAAGAGAAGGTATGATTAAAAATTTTTAATGTAATATTGTTCATGAAGTCTCAACCAGGTCTGCATAGCGGCTCCATGCTACTAGATGCTGCATGAACACTGGAAATATGCCTTCATATAGCCAGTCTTTCCTTATATTATATACGTGTTGGAAACAGGCGATTGTGGAAAGAGCAACTCAGTACAATTATACCCAAGCACTATACACCTTGCAAATGGGAATAAAGCTCTGAGAATCAGCCTTTCTGTAAGGTAAATAATAACAGTCGTCTTCAAGACTGTTTTGGAAATGTACTGAAACAAACTGATTATATTCATGTTCTGGGAAGAATCCATGACAGTGTCCATGAAACCAAATAAAAATTGTCGTGGTTACAAAGCTGTGTGTGAAAATCTCTTTGGACTGCCATAGGAGTCCTATAGGTTTATCAAGGCTCCTACTCCCTTTTTTTTTTTATTGACTTCAGAATTTAGTTTTTGTACATTAGTGGCGTATGTGGAGCTGGTGGAAACCAGTACGTTATTATTGTGTACAAGGACATATGTAAATATGACTTTCTCCAGGGTTAGGAAAAATTTGTGTCTTTTCAGTCTGTGTTTCATCTTTCTGTTCTCTGCTCAGTCCAATGGTAACATAAATAATGTTAAAACAATGCACTGACTCACTTTTGTCCATGTTTCTGGTTAGTTAAATTATTAATAAATGCTTAGTGCAAGACTGATTTCAGCTAACTTTAGCAGTCTGCAGTGCATACATTTATATCTAATATAGCTTTTTAGGGCTCTCTTTATAGTCAGTGTGGGAAAAACAATCCCAAGGAGTGATGCACATTATGACTTTTAGGTACATTCCTTAAATGAGATGAATTATGCCCTAAACCCACTCATTTTTTCCAGCTAGCTCTGGTGCAGATATCTTAATTTGGAGAGATGAATCTTACCCTTTGTTCAGTTTGTGTAATTTCTGTGTGTACCTGGATCATTACTTAGGATCATGTTTAGCCTGAGGTAGCTGAGGGCACTGTTCTCTGGCTTGAGGGGCTGCAGAGAGAGATCTCCCTTCATGAGCACTCACAGACTGCTAAAATAGCCTCTGTTTTTTATGAGTGTCCTCAGTTGCTTTTTGTGAAGGCATCTAATTCTGCTCATGCTGTGTTAAATGCCTATCAGATTCAGTCTTTCCAAAAACGTGGCAGGAGAAAGCTTAATGTCGTGACTCCGATTTCTCTCATGTGGGAAAAGGGCTTGAGAAACTTGGACAGTTTCTGCTGAGAGGTGACGGAGCAGCACCTCAGGCACCGAATGGACTAAAGTTAGATAGCAAGGCACCTCGTGATTGTAAATGAGTCTAGGGTTAAGCAATAGCTGTGAGGAGATGCTTTTTGTTTTTATTTATTTAAATGATGATTCAGTTGGAGATGTTAGTTCTGCCTCAGCCTCATGCCAGTGGCCCAAGTCTTTTACTGGATGTAGCTGTTAGTAATGTTTGCAAGACAGGGATTTATAGACACATTTATTCTGGAGGAATCTAATCACTGCATTACTTTCGCAAATGTAGCTGTATCAGAAGCAAACAGTGCATGAATTATATGTCTCAGCAGGATTGATCGTGCCCTTAGGAGCTATTAGCAGCACCCAGAGAACAATTACATTCTCCTGCTCCCAATAATGAAGTACTATTTAGAAACAGAAAGTCATTATGTAAAACTTTGAGAAATGATACAATTACATTACATTACACATAATTTTGTCACAGGCCTTGCTTATTACATAAAATTCAAATGTCTTCTGAAAGGGAATTCTGTAGTGCTGATTTCCTGCTCTTGTGCTCCAAGGCACTTTGCCTTTCTGTTAAATGATGAGAGAGCTATTTAGGTTTGGAAATAGAATATATTCTGAAAATTAAAAAAAGAAAGCTTATAAAAAGAAGCTGTGTCTGAAAACAAGCAGTTATTGTATTAATTATTATTTAATTTAATATTAAATAACCTAATTTGCCAGTATCTATTTCATATTTTGGTTTATCCAGTTATTACAGCAAGAAGTAACTCAAAGAAGTGAACATAGGCATCATACTTATAAGATTATTCATTCTGTGTAGTCAGTCTGATCTCTTTGTAATTGTTTACAGATTTAAATTTAAGCCTTACATTTTCTTTTCTCTCTTTTGCATAATAGTTGGCCTTTGTTTTGCACGCTGTTTTTTTTCAGTGCATGACTGAAGCTGTGTGATGGAAATTAAAATGAGTTGTGTCAGTCTAGTTTGTGCAGTGTTCAGTGCAAAAGGTCCCAAAGCAGCGCTCTGGTGAGTGGCCGAAACATGAGACTGGGCCAGGTGCCACCCTCTGCTTGGAGATAGAACTAGGCAGCAGGTAGCAACACAAATGGTCAGGATAGATCTGCTCTTACACAATCTCTCCTGCTTTATCTATAGAAAGTGAGACTTAGGGAGACAAGCTGGTAGGACATAGAATCATAGAGTCATAGAATGGTTTAGGTTGGAAAGGACCGTGAAGATCATCTAGTTCCAACCCCCCTGCCATGGGCAGGGATGCCTTCCACTAGACCAGGTTGGTCAAACCCCCACCCAGCCTGGCCTTGAACACTTTCAGGAATGGGGCCTCCACAACTTCTCTGGGCAATTTGTTCCAGTGCCTCACCACCCTCAGAGTGATTTTTTTTTCCTAATATCTAATCTAAATCTCCCCTCTTCCAGTTTGAAGCCATTACCCCTCATCCCATCCCTACATGCCCTTGCAAAAAGTCCCTCTCCAGCTTTCTTGTAGGTGCCCTTCAGACACTGGAAAGCTGCTATAAGGTGTCCCTGGAGTCTTCTCTTCTCCAGGCTGAACAAGCCCAACTCTCTCAGCCTGTCTTCAGAGGAGAGGTGCTCCAGTCCTCTGATCATCTTTGTGGCCTTCCTCTGGACTTGCTCCAACAGGTCAATGTCCTTCTTATGTTGTGGGCTCCAGAGCTGGACGCAATATTCCAGGTGGAGTCTCATGAGAGTGGTGTAGAGTGGGAGAATCACCTCCCTTGACATGCCGGCCACACTTCTAACATGCTAACATGGCATTTCCAAAAAACTCAATAACATTCCTAAATCTTAAGGACTTTTACCGGAGGCTGGAACTGGAGCAAACATAAGTCAGTGCCTGAGCAATCTGGCATTGTCCGCATCTCATTGCTTTCACTAGCAGTTCTCAGTTAAATAAGATTTTCCTTGAAGAGGAGATGTTAGGCATATTTCATAGCAACCCTTCTACACCTTAAAGACCTTTTATTTAACCAGGACTCTGCTGCAGCGTGAAAGGTGGTCAATGCTGATTCTTAAAGAAGCCCCCAGGATCCCATAGGAAATAAGGGGTTAATTGTATCTAATCCAGTCACATAGGCTCTGTCCCATGGAAAAAAACATAAGGAACAGTTTTAAGTGCATAAACAGTCTGTTATTTAAAGGCAGTTGCTTTCCACACTCCTATTTCTGTCTCAGTAATTGATTGTAGATGTTTTCAGCAAATGTGTTACATCAAGAATTCTCTAACATCAGTGGCTTGAACTGGGGTTATTTTTCTTCCCCCACAGCCTCCTAGTATTTTCTAATGGGCTGTGTTGCATGTTGCTTTTTAAAATCAGTTATGTGGCAACCACGTTATGCTAACACTGTGTGTGTGTGTGTATTTGCATGCTGGGAGACTGGGGCTCCATAGGGAAACCTGGCAGTCCAAGGAGAGCTGATGAGACCTGGTTAATCATGTACATGTTTAAGATTTTGTACTTAAGTTTTACAGCACAGAAGCACTGAAGTAGTTCCCGCAGACTTTCCAGTGCCATGGGCATTTAGTAGCCTCCTGAAAAAATTAATTATGATTTTGGTTTGACTGGAATTCAGACTCTTGAGATGTCATTAATGTTCGGCTCATGTATCACGTGAGACAAAATTGAATTTACATTTAGAAAATTTCATATTACAACTTTCTTTTCAGTATTGTTCTTTTTTCTAACAGAAGCTTTCCAAAGTTTAAAGAAAGAGACAATTCC